CATTTCCGAGCTTTGCGCTCCCAATCCTCCAACAATAAGTAGGCTTTCTTCTCCCTCCTCCTTGCAGCTCTTCTTCTCCTACAATCAAGCGTATTATTCCTGCCTTTCCTCCCTTCCACCACTGTAAGGCCTCTATTCTCCCTCTCTACACCCACAATGTTGCTTGCACGGCAGCCAGCCGCCCGTCTGCTGGTGCACCTGACTTGCATCCTGCTCCACCTCGCCCATGGCGCCCTCGCGACAAAGGTCCGGGACAAGGCTGCCGATCCCACGGTCATCAGAGCTGGAGACACCTACTACTCGGCCGAATCAGCAGGTGGCGGCATCTACGTCCGCGCAGCGTCCTCGCTCGAAGGCCTGGGCGCCGACGACGTTCGGCGGGAGCGGGTCTGGTCCGACGACGCTGCCATGGGCGACGTCTGGGCCCCCGACATGAGCACCGACCTGGGCCGCACCTTCATCCACTTCTCGGCCGGCAGGGATGCCGCCCACCGCATGTACGTCATCAGCGCCGGCTCGCCGCTGGGCAACTACTCGACCGAGACCAAGCTTGCGCTGCCGGACGACCACTGGGCGATTGATGGGACTTTCTTTGTCTTTGAGGGGCGGGGCTGGTTCGCCTGGTCGGGCTGGGAGAGCGAGAGTCGGAACACCGAGCAGTCGCTGTACATCTGCCGCATGGACAGCCCCTCGAAACCCATCGGCCAGCGGTACATCATCTCGCAGCCGCGTGAGCCGTGGGAGCAGGGCGACAGCCCCCTGGTCAACGAGGGGCCCCAGGCCATCGTTGATCCCGACGGCCAGCTGCACATTGTCTACTCGGCCAACGGCAGCTGGGGCAACAAATACTGCCTTGCCGATCTCCGCCTCCGCCAGGGTGGCGACCCGGCGAATGTGTGGGACTGGTACAAGTCAAACGGCTGCCTGTTTGGGTCGCATCAGGACCGGATGATGAAGGGCTGGGATGCAACCCTGCACGTTGACGGCCCGGGACACCACACGTTTGCCCTCGCGGACGGCGAGGTGAGCAAGAGCCCCGGTGGCACCAGCAAGATCCCGTTCATGTTTCACGGGGTGGAGAAGGGCACGCCGTACAGGTGGGAAAACCGTGCTTGGTTCACTGGGAGTTTTGTTTGGTGGAGCAAGACCACCTACAGCCGGCAGAACGTGCCAGGGGATTCAAGCAATACGGGCCACAGCCTCAAGTTCTTTGAGTGAGCGATGAGTAGCATGTCTCGTTGGCCCGGCACGCTGGACTCTCTTCCCAACTTCCTCGTCGCTCAACCACTGTCTTCTCGCATTCAACTGCCAAAGAACCCTTGAGAAATCCTCTGGCGGTATGTCGAGCCTGACTACAAAATCCTCAATCTCCAAAAAGGCCGCAACATTCCCATCGCCCGACTCGTCCTCCGCGGTTTTGCTCATCAGCGTCTCAACGAGCTGCGAGGTCGTTGAGCTGTAGTCGACCCTGACCCGAGCAGGAAATCGTGTTGTGGTGCTGGAAATTCGAAAGCATCATGATCGCTCTGGGCTGGGATCGTATGATGCTGTCATGACTGGATTTGAACAAAATCACCCCACTAATTGCTCTGTTAAAGGTTAAAGGTTGTTTTGTTTATGAGAGCATCGCATATATCCAATGCCGTATTCAACCGCGATAGTATAATATACGAGAGTTGAGGGCGTGTGTCCTCGATTGTGTTTCCGGGCATACTGCCGATACCTTACTCTGATTGCCTTGTTCACCGTCTCTGAACATGCTAGCACCCTGCGTGGGTGCATGCACTGTCTGCTCAGATGAGCGGGGGAAGACATCGATGTCGCACAGAGACAGCCGTTCGAGGACGGCGAACTCTGCATAACTTCCGTGAGGACGCTGGGTACTCCGTTGGAGAGCAGCTGTGCCGCGTTCGCTGGCATAGACTCCCGAGGGTGCGGAATGTACCAGTTGATGGACGAGCATTCGAAGCTCTCTAGTAAAGGGTCGTTGCTGATGAGAGTGTCGAGGTCTTGCGGCGTGAGACGGCACATGTCCAGCCTGATGTCGCGGATCTTTGCTATGTTGAGCTGAGTGGGAAACCCCCAGATGGCGCATGTTCCAAAGTCGAGGACGTTCCGCCCGAGAGCCGTAGTACAGAGGGTAGTCAGGAGATTATCTCCCAAGCGGACGAAATCCGGTTCGAATCCGCCCTCTTGGTGCAAACTCAGTATTTCTCAGCTGTTTGAGAACCCCGCCGTTGTTGGGCAGCCCGTCATGAGGGACTGATACAGGGACTGATAAAACTCGGAACCTGTTCGTTGCGCGTCTAGTTCCCCACAGTTCATGTGAAGCTGAGCTCAGCTATGTTCGGAAGCCGGCGAGCAATCAAGTTTGATATAGGTGTGATCGAGTAGACCCAGCGCACAAGCTGCCTCCATACTGTATGGCGGTGTTTGCCTTTTATGTCGCGTAGACGCTCACCCGGTACGTAGTCTCCAAATGGGGGCTCCCATCCGCGCAGCGAAACGAAGCGCACTCGAGCAGCAAGGGCCCGCTTTTCGGTCACGGCTCGGAGAAACCTCGTCATGTCAATCTTGTAGCTGTTGCATGTTGTCGAGAAGTATGGTTGGGGAGGCAACTGCTGAAATGTGCCTCGAAACGCGGCAAAGGTGCGCGAGCGTGGTTTTGCATCTTCCATTACAATGTGTCGGTCCCAGTCGTCAGGTTCACTGCCGTCAAGTGTACTGCAATGCTGACAAGGGAAAGAAAATATCTTGTGCAGGATTTCGTTGGACAAACGATCGAGGACAAGCCCTGTCGAGGGGGCAGGTGCCATGGTGGTATCTATACTTGCTTGCCGGTCCAGGTTGCGAAAAAGAAACTGGAAAAGAAAAAAGGCAGGAGGTGAACTCACGGTGCCTCCCATTTCGTATTTGCCGGAGGGATCCCTTACCAGAGGAGACCCAGGAAACCTAACTCGGATTGACAAGATTAGATTTACGGCAAAAACATGATGACTCTCTCCTTGGGGATCAGTGACCCTCTGAGTGAGATTTCGGCCAATCAAATGGGGCTGTCCCACCAAGTGGCTTGAACCGCTGAAGGCAACTTGGAGGGATGCCTAGGTGGAAAAAGCCTCCACAGGTATGATTAGATTAGAATGTGGGACTTTCCGTGGATCCCTAAAAGTTTGATAAGCCCCGTGCGCTGACTCTCTTCCTTTGGACAAAGCAACAAACCCCAGGAGACGACTCTGGATTGGGATCCTCTGGGCGTGGCTGTTCTGGCCATGAACATCGAACCAGGGGACAGTGGCAGTTCGCTTGCCAGACTGCTGAACCCCGATGTTGTCATTACCATTCATCAGAGTCAAGCGGAAGCATTCGGCTGAAGATCGTGTTGACAAGTTCACAAGCCAAGCCGCTCCTTCAGACCACCACCACATATTTTGAACGCCTAGCACTGTCGAGTCTACATCAACACGCCTCAGCACCTCAAGGGTTGACATACAACGGCTCAATGTTGACAGTAAACGTCGACCTCGTCGGCTCCTTGATATCCTTGACGTTGTAGTCGTTCAAGACCCTGAGGTTGAGCCCGCACTGAAGCTTCTGGCCGGCATAGAACCCCCTGAGGAAATCCGGCAGCGCCGCGACCTGCTCTTCGCTCAAGTCGGCGGCCTCGTTGGTCACATTGACTCCGCACGTCTTGCAGAACGTCTTGACCACGATGCCCGTGGCGAACTGGTACGTTCTCAGGTTCTCCCTTCCTTGGACGATGACTTGCTCGGTCTTGGGGAACACCCAGATATAACGGTTCTGGGATGGGTTAGCTTGCATTCCGAGGTTTGGGGGAACAGTGACCTACGCGCGAGCAGATGCTGCAGGCACACTCGGACGCGGTGTCGGGGTAGTCCTTGTCGAGCGGGGCGCTCTTCAGCGCGAGGGTCACGGCGCCGCAGTGGCAGCTCCCGTGGTATATCTTGGCGTTTTCCATCCCGGCGGAGGGCTCCGGGCCGGTGTACTTTGGGGGTTGGTAGGGAGAGCCCCAGCCGGCGCCGTCCAAGCTGTTTGTATGTCAGCGCGGCAACCTCACGGGAAAGACGGTCTCGGTTTGCACGGTGTGATCTCCAGGTCCCAGGCGCTTATTCCCTGAATCGCACAGGCCTGGTGCATGCTCGGTTAATGTCGCAAAAATGGTCAAGTAGAAGAGGAGGGGCTACATTGAGAGAAAGCTGCCTCCCGGGTGGCGCGCTCGGTGCCGAGCACAAGACGGGCGTGGCGCATTTGGGACAGAACTGCAAGTCCAAGTTAGCATTGGCTCGGACACCAAGTTTGAGATGTAGTACCTTGTGAGATGCCACCCCAGTGCCAAAGCTGTACGACGCCAGGGTGGTGTCATTCCCCTTCACGATCTTCAGATTGGAACTTGGGGGGGGATAAACCCAGAGGTAGCCCTTCTTGGAGCAAATGCTGCAATTGCATTCGGCAGCCGACTTGACTTCGGGCACGTCGATCTCGTAGACAAAGTTGCCGCAGTGGCAATTGCCACGGTATGTCTTGAGCTGCTTGTTCTCAGCCATGGTGGCGTTGTGCTGTCGGTAATCTAGGATGCTGACAGGGGGGAGAAGTTGGGGAAAGGGGAAGGGGGAAGGGGAGTAAGTGCCGGGTCTGTCTCAATTTAAACAAACAAAAAGTCCGAGTCCGAGTCCGGTGTCAATGGCCAATGCACCGCAACTTCTCGATGTCCACTGCAGCTGCACAGTTTCTTGCCGCGGGAGCGTGAGCCCGTAAAAACTCCCGTTTGTTTAGTTCAACTTGGCGCGCGACCGGTTTCGGGACTATATTCCATTGGACAGCATTCAGGCACCACAATCCATCTTCGGGCACAGCAACATGAACAAAGCTAAAAGGGGGGCAAAGGGGGCGTTGCTAGCCCCCTTTTGCTTTCAACAATAGGGGACCTCTCTTAGTACCTATAGAGAAATAATTGAGGGCCAATCATTAAATCCTTTGCGATAGTCACTTTGGCGGAGTGGTTAACGCGCTGCCCTGCTAGCTGAATCAGTAGTCTAGGCAGTTCCCTCGGGAGCACAGGTTCGAATCCTGTAGGTGACGTTTCTTTTTGGAAAACACTTCATTTAATTCAGGATTGATGACCAACTAAAAAAAGGGGCTGAAAGACCCTTTCTTGACACACTGCTCCTTCTTGGAGTCCTCCATATTTACGGCTATCTAAACAATATGATGATGTTAAAAGACCATGCGATACTGATAATTCGCTGATATCTGCTTCGGCCACACCCTTTTTTCACTTGGGCGATGTGGCCTCCATTCCTAAATCCTTGGCGTCGTTGGGGTTTTCGGTCCCAGCTGTCCAATTGCTGCAACCAATTGCCAAAGCCCGCTCCGACGACCAGGCATCCTGATATACCTCTTGATGCTCCTTTAGCCATATGGAGAGCATGGGGGTAGAGGGCTTCGCTGGGACTTTGAGTTAGTGGCTTTTGATTGTTGCGCACGTTGGTAGAATTACAGTACACTTGGGTTTCGGTACGATATTGTCTCCAGGCTCTTTATCCTTGCTGCTTGTGATTTGACTTGGTGGGCGTGTGGGGTCCATTGGAAAGAGAAGTAGAATTTTGCTGACGTTTCGGCACTGGACAGGCAAGATTGCGTGCCGTTGAGCGCATTTCGGCACCACCAATTGCTCCCCTTCATGTTCAAATGCAGCAGAACTTGAACCTCATCTTATACAGACCGGCGGGGGCCGGGCCGTCTGTTGAGCGATCGGGGCGGTGGGCCATTGTCACCGTGACACCTCCCAACACCTCAAGGTGGCGCCTGACGGCCACCAAGGATCACGAAGAGGTCAACCATCCATGACAGTCAAGATCTCAGGTTGGGGACTGTACGTAGTATGTCTGGTGCCGGGTGCGGTGTCCAGTGGCCAGTTCAGATTTGCGGTCATTGCAATTCGGGACGGAAATCTCCAGTTGCGCCATTGGCGACATGACAGCGGCCTTGGCAACAGTGGTGCGGGAGACATGGCAATCACGATGGGACTTGTCAAACATACGGAAATAATGGGGCATGGCAAACAAGAATCTGGGGTCGAAAGAAGAAGGCCAGTCGGGCATTTTAGTGCAGCAGGGCATGAGCGGTTTATTGGCATACGTGCCTGGCACAGTCGGCGAGACATGAACATGGCGACGGACATGGCAGGAAAATGGCAGCGGGGCATGGCGGGACATGGCACTGACAAGACATGGCGACGGGCATGGCAGGAAAATGACAGGGAAATGGCAGCAAGGACATGGCACTGGCAGGACATGGCGACGGACATGGCAGGAAAATGGCAGCAGGGCATGGCAAGGGCATGGCAAGGGCATGGCAGCGGCCCGGGGACATGGATGGGCAGGAGTGTGGCAGTGGGATGGCGCCAGCAGGACATGGCACTGGCGGGCAGGGCATGGCACTGGCGGGCAGGACATGGCACTGGCGGGCAGGACATGGCGGTGGCACAGCAAGAAAACATGGTAGTGGGATAGGTGGGAGTGGGACATGTCGGCCAGCCACCTACCTAATGAGAACGAATCAACGGTCGTGGCGTCCTTTTTGCGTTGTTGGTTTTGCTGTGCAGTTAGGGTTTAGTAAGGCGGCCGCGGAGCCTCCTTCATTGCTGCAGCTGCTGTTTAAAAGGGTGTGCCAGCCAAAACCCCCCCAAAATGCGAACCATCGCGGCGCGGTTGCCTTCTTTCCCAATCTTCCCATTGCGTCTACCTGCCTCCCACTGTTGCCGGATCGCTATGCTCCACCAACTGGCTGAACTGGCTGCCTTGCACCTTCTAACTTTCTAGGTTGGTACCTAGGTAGGCAGGGAGGTAGGAGGAAGGTAGCCTGGCTGCGACCTACAGCCCAAGTACCAAATTCAAAATTGCCGTTTCCCTCACATCAGCACTGAGCGCTGAGCCGCCAGCATGTCGTCAGCCCAGAAAGCCCAGCAAACCCATCCGCTCTTCCTTGAACAGTGTCGGACCAAGTACTCCTGGGCCTCAGGTGCCACACGTGGTACCCCTTCTGCGATTGAGCGGCACCGCAAGGATCTCAAGGTCGCCTTCTCCGAGATTAATGGCCTGATGGCCGGGATGCACTACCAGGACCAAGCAGAGGGCAACCACCCAGCGTCCCCGTCGCTCCGGTCCCCGCCGCCACTACAGGCCACCCGCGAGCACCTTGACTGCTACCCCACCGAGATTGACATTACTGACGACCTTCTCGGAAACACGCCCGGCTCACACCACACCGCCCCGCCTGAGCCTGCCGCCACGATAGAAGACCAGCCCATGGCATCGCAATGGGCCGCGATCCGCAGCCTGAGGAAGGAAACCGAGTTTCACCATGAGCGCTTCCAGGTCCATGTGAGGCGGCTCCAGGACCCCATAATCTCCAACCTGCTCGACATCTACCCAGACGCCCGGAGCATCCGCAACACGGGCGCCCAGCTGGTCAAGGACATACTGGAGGGCTTCCAGCCCCATAAACTGTCGCTCGTCTTCGCTTTTACCTGTTTCTCCTACTCTATTTCGCAGCTCCTCTATAAGAAGGGCCACATCGCCAAGAGCGATACCCTTGCCAATATCCGAGTCTGGCGAGACTTGATTGCGGACCCAAGGGAGAGGCAAGCCTTCAACCACCTCGCGCCAAAACTCTGGCCAGAAGCCAAAGAACATCTCCACTTCATTGACATCCCTGCATTCCCCGTGGACAGCGCTCAGGCTACTCCTGCTCCCTTGTCTGACCTATGGCTCGCGACCTCTTCGTCTCTTGTTGGCCCAGCGGGGCTTTCACCCTCCCAGCTCCTGCACAGTCAGCCAAGCGGACAAATCAGCCGGCCCGCCGATAACACGGCCTCTCCGCACCTCCCGGATCAGTACCCCTTCGGCGTCATGCCTCCAGATCCCAGCCTAAGGGATCCTGCCCCCGTCATTGAGAACCTGGTCGGGCTATTGAACTCATCGCACGGGGCCATCGATTTCTCTACCCTCGGTGTGTTCAGCAGCCAACTCCAGTGGCAACCGGACGAACCCGATCCCCCTGCGCCCCCTTTAGGTCCCCCGGTGCCACCGACAAAGTTTGATCCTTCGGACAGGGAGAGGAAGCGTTCACAATTAGCCAACCAAGCAGCCGGGGGTACTAAGCTCGAGGAAACCGTAATGTTTCTCGTTGTTCTTGCCTTCCTTCAGGAAATCGGCCAGTTGCTGTACACACTCTCGGGCAGCAGCCTCGCCTCCAGGTGCCACAAGATGTACCCGGCACAACAAGGGGAACAAGAAGCATTCTACAGAAAAGCTCGGGATACCTTCTTCGAGCCATGGTCCCAGCGCCCGAGCTCTGGACTCCCGGCTTTCCGAGCTCTTGTCTCAGTTGCCGATATGTTCACCCGAGACGGCTACCTACAAAGCATCGATGAGATCGAGCACTACTTGGCCGGTGTAGCAGTAGTAAGCTTTGCAACCAAGGCATCTGCTGCTTCCTTTCCCACTCCGCTAATTAAGTTACCAGGCTGTCCTTCCACCAGGGGCTGCCTTTAAGGAATTCCTTTACTCCATATTGGGTGGAGTTTACGCAACACCCACCCGGACCCCGGATTCCAGCAGCCCTAGAAAGCGGCAGAGGAATACCGACGAGGATCCGGTGACAGCATCCAAGTGGGTTCATCTTCGTATTTTCTGCCTATTCAAGTAATAGACTGACAACCGGGCAAGGCGGGACCGAACGAAGCCCGGGCCGCCCCCCGTCAGCTGCGAAGAGTGCGACTACACATGTCCGAGACGAGATCGGGTTCGCTCCCACTTTCTCAAGCAACATCCCGGCATTGCCCTCCCGGAGAGGCTGCGGGAGAAGGGGAGGTCATCCCAGGGGCTCTGAACCGCGGAGGTAGTACTCTTGTCGAGTGACACAGCTAGGGAGTTTACGACGTGGAACCTACATCGTGGCGGTAGCTCTTCCATTTGCATTAAGTGCCGCTAGGAAGCTCAGAACCTCCGTTCTAGGCGCTGTTTTGGTGCCATCTTGTCGGTTCGCTTTATGGCAGGTGGGTGCCCGATTGTCGTCGGCGACGGAGCAGAGTGGGGGATGTTGTGATGGGAGGTCCGGGAGGTCCGGCTCATGATAGACCGTTCCGTCCCGATTGGCCTCATGTTTCTTGGTCTTCTGTTTATCTCACCTCATGTCGTCTTGATTTGAGGGACTAAATGCGGCCTCGTTACCTTTGGTACATATCGCTCTGCAGCTTTGCATTTAGCGACTCATCCACCCAATCGTTTAGGACTCGGAGTTGATAACAAAATGCAGCACGTGGGCCACTAACATCAGATGGCAGGCGTTCCCATATCCCTTCGGACAGGTATGATAAGAGTTTTACCCTGGCGGTGGGTGTCTCAATGAGAAGGATCACCATCTTGTCTTCAATTTCCCACACTTTTGTCATGGCTCCATCTCGTTTTATGCTAGCTTGCTGCATGTGCCTCTTTGACACCGCCAGGCAGCAGATGCAAATTCCACCACGCCGGCAAAGCTCACACAACAATATCAACTTTGCAAAACCACCGATGACGCTGAAACTCGTGCCCAGAATCCAGCCGCCACTGATAACCGGCAGGCACCCAGCTCTTCAGTACCTCCTTGAAACGGCCGGCTGACACAGAACCGGAATCTACAAACCAAGAGGCACCTCCCCTACCCCTTCTCCCAACCCACCTTGACCACCGCCCGCCCTAAGAGTAGCCGCCGGATGCTCTGAGACTTGGACTTGTTTAAATGTTTCGGAAATAGAATAAGGTTGGCGGGGTATTCCGAATTGCAACTTTAACCCTTGCCTCTGATGTATTCTGTTAGTGATATATACCTTCTGAAGTGGTGAGTGAAAGGCGGTTGCTTTTTCTTGTCTATTCTGCTGCCTGCATTTCTGTTGCCATTTGGAGGGTGGCCATTACTAGTAATGATGCCTTGCACACAATCATGTATGAGACTTGGCGCTCTTCAGAATGTCTTTCCTCTATCAAGGTAATTCGAACCTCTCGCTTCTTAAAAAGAGTTTCAAATATTTCTAACAG